CCTCGATGCTGAAATTTTACCATTTCCTGACTGTCGATGTTACACATCTTTCAAACGATGAAACTGTACATTCTGATTTTATTTTCATCTCTTCGATATTTTGTACTTTTAGAAAGACAAATAATTAATTGTTTAATAACCGATACAGAAAACAATCATTAACAAATTTTGCTGCGATGGATAATTCATTATCATCCATTTCTTAGCTACAATATTTTCTATTTTTATTATTTGTAGCTCCATACTTTGTCAAGAAAAATTCAGAGAACCCATTTTGATAGCGACAATGTTCATTGTGCAAAAGTTTCACTACTTTTCTTTACTTTCCAACTAACAGTCAATCTTTTTTGCATGATCCATTATTAGAACAACGTTCCGTTCCTTGGCATGAGTCACTGGCTATAAGAAAAGTGCGGGACGTTCGTGTAGAAAACATAAATTGAACGAAGCTTGACATGTCAGGGAAATGAAATTTTCTCGTCAGGAATTATTATTAATGGTCTGGATATATAAAAACTGGACAGGTTTAATCGTTATAAGATAAAGATAAATTTTAAATGTAGCACCAATAATAATTTTATATTAATTTAATAAACAGATAATAATCCCCTTCTAATATTTTTTTTATCAATATTGCTAGCTTAAAAAACTGGTACAAGCATACCACGTCAAAAAATAAATACATGTGTCTATTGATCACTGCAGTGGAATAATTAGCATAGCTAACCCCATTAATCTTCTAATTAAGTCAAATCAATATTAACCCACTGCGATAACTTATACTTCTTTTTTCATTTTCATTTCCCACACTAGTTAAGGCGATAAACGTGTATAATTTTGCATACATTTGTACGAACCTCATGAATAATATACACTGCTATCACAGGACTCTTTGATTACTCTGTTGCATTTCAAATCTAACACGGTGTAAAGACTTTTACATTGCGGCCATTAATATGCATGAGATAAAAATTTTCCCCGTCGCTTCTCATTAATTGAAACCATTTGGCCGTTCGAAACAATAGCAGAGGCTATTGTCCAAAATTTAATACTTTCACCCGTTTATTTCATTCTTATCGCCATGAAATTTGTATCTGAACACCGAGGAAAAAACACGATTTTTCGTTTCTCATGGGAAAATAAATTATAATACATTCATTTTTATGTGTAACACAAGTTACACAAACTTTTATTCTTTCGTGCTATTTAACTGAGTTATGGATTGTAAAAGGTGAGTTAGTAAAACGATGTGAACGTACCATCGTGAATTTAAAAAATTTATTGATATAAGGGGAGAAACCTCATTTTCATTGGTTTTACTACTTCAATGGATAATTTAGAATTTAAATTTAATTTTAAGTTTTGTTTTCAATTCTAATTTCTAAACTACTAAATTTCTAAACTCCTAAACTGTTAACTCCCTAAATTTTTAAATAAATACTACAAAATTTCCCAATAATCTCACGATGCTTATTCAAATCAAATAATCACAAAATGGCAAAATAATTGAAGTATTATCGAAGAGCGATTGACGAAATATTTTATCTGCAATTTTAGCAATTTTATCCCGCTGGAGAAAATGGAAAAATGGTTCGACGAAAAATGCACAAATACAAGAAGAGAAAAAAGGCTACGTATGCAAGTTGTGTCTTTGATGTTCCAAATTTTTTCGTCACCACTTTTAATCAGAATTCTGAAAGTATCGATGGTCTGTGAAACGCGAACGAGCTTGAAATGTCAATTAATATACCGTGGCATCAAATTCAAGGGAATGTAGAATATTAAAATCAAAGAATGTCAAATATGTAATATAGCCGTTAATCTCATGGATTCTTTCTTCGTTATTGGCGATCATTAATTATGTACTAACTATGCGATCATCGGAACAAGAAATAGACGAGTGATATTAAATATTTTCAAGTTAAATATACTTCTTAGGGCCAGCCATTTTGTATTAAGAATATTAATGGAACGTTTATGTAGTCTTTTTTATTAAATTTTAAGCTTTAAATTGATATAACATAAGTACTATTTTGAAATACTTTTATGTTATGAAATGGTGTCAGAATGTAATAAGTAGTACGAGTACATCATTAGTCAAACATATTCATACTTACAGTCTGATGCAATTTCATGACATAAAAGTATTGTAAAATATCACTTGTGATAGATCAATTTAAAGCTCAAAGTTTGCTGAAAATGTCTATCTAAATGCTTCATCGATATTTCTGATACAAAATGGCTGATGATCAGTTATAAACATTCAATTGAATTAAACCAGGCAAAAATCAAATAAAAAGCAATTGCTCTTAATTAAAATTTCCACAATACGTCAGCAGATAAATATGAAAATATGCAAATATACTTTCTGAAATCTTCGTATGAAAATTCAGCATAAATTTGCATAACCGTACGATCGTTCCTGTTAATCGCACGTTAACAGCGTCAATGTAAATAAATGATTAATTTCATTAAACAACGGGTTATACTCGTTCCGTTTCGAGTCACGGCCACGCCATAAATTATGCCGATTGGAGGCATGCCAATGATACAAATTATCGATTGTATCTAAATTCAAAATATCAGCAGTTTGGCGACGGGTAACCGAAGTTTACTTCGAACAGGAACCGTGCTACGAATACGAACGAACGCAGAAAATAACGTTGGTTTTCCACGCGAACGAATCAGACCGGTCAGGATAATGGGAAACACGGTTAACTACATTACGTTAATGGTGTTTCAGATCGTCGCGACATTTTGTGACGGGTTCGTGATTCGCATGAATGAAATCAAAATTCCCATGACGATTGCTTTTTACCTACAGTCACTCGCATTCGCTCGCGTAAAACTAACATTTACTTCTCTGCAATGATTGGCCTTTTATTGTTTTAATGGCACTAATTTCTTTTTGAAATTCTTAAATTTTTAAATAAAACACAAAACAATAATTTGAAAAATTAATTAATCTTTGTTATAAAATTCTCTCTAGAGAATCCTGCAGAGCTGCAAAGTTTTTCAACTACCTTTTCATAACATTTCCCACCTCTAGATTGTTCGTTTTCTATTTAGTTTAACAGAAGCTTCAGCTTTTATGTTGTACTCTTCTGTATCAAAAAACTTTTTGTATCAAGCCACGAATAACATCCACGTTGCTGTAGAATTTTCAAAGGAATACAAAATCGTTGCATGCATATAACGACTATATTTGTGGTTCCTGTGATGTTATTGTGAAATGTGCACAGAGAACACCATATTTACGCCACGTGGTAGATTTCGCTCGAATGGTTTTGTAAATAAATGACGCTTTCATGAAAAAAGGAAAACTGTTTCTATTGCTGGTGTGCATTCATAAAATTGCAATTCAAAAATAGAACCTGTTTCCTTTGACTTTAAAAAGAGAAACTATAGAAATGATTTACAACTTCCAAACACACAAAAATAGAATAAAATAGGCAATTTGTTTTTTTTTTATTTTTCAAAAATAAAAAAATTTTCAACTCTGCATTTTTTCAATTAAAATTGAGATATTTTATTAAAAGTAAATGAAAAAATATTAAATACCTCAATGTTCGTAAAATTAATTAATGGAAAAAACTAGAATATTTTGACTAAATTTTATTCGATGGTCTTCTTTGTTTTGAATAGAAATTCACTATAGAAAGTAGTAGGGTAAGGTTGGTTTATTAAATATTTCCACGTACAGGATTTCATCGAAACAGATAATCAATATAAAAGCCGGCAGGATACAGAAAACAGACTGTTAGAGACAGATACGAGTAACAGACGAATGCATTGAAAGATTCAATAAGCCCCTCGAATCCCACAGGAATGGATGCTACGTGTTCGATGTTTCTGAGCACAATCCAGGTAATTTTTCACGTACGACAGCAGTAGTGGAACGTTGTTACCCGTAATTTGATATAAAATCAATTTACCTCCCGCTTGCCACGTGATACATTGCACATTCGGACGTTACTGATACCGTGTAAAATCTTTAATTTAAAAAAATTACGTCCCTTTAATAGTCCAGATACAAAATGATCCCATAGAAATACATTGGGTACCATTCGAATATAAAGTAATTAATTAAAGTGATAATTGATAACACGTTAAACATTCTATTTTTCAATTTAAACTTCTCTCACTTACTATTTTATAAAATTAATATTTTACCCATTGGAAGCTTAAAGCTACAAAATTTTAGTAATAAATGAAATTTACAAAATACTGTAATTGAACGAAATTCCATAATAATATTTTTATCATTTTATGTATTAACTATTTTCAAAGTTATCAAACAAAATGATTGATAAATTTTAACGAAATTCAAGTTCTAGTAAGCGGATTATCGCTAATTCCAACGGTTCATCTTTCTACCTAGAAGTGAAGGAGAAATTCACGTCGAAATCCATTCGTGTCGCAACAAAATATCGAAACGGAAACGAAACCTTATTCCCTTTACAGGGAAGAGAATACAGCTTCCAGTTTGCGAGCCAATCGGCGTGTTCTCTTTTTCCAAGTCGAGGGAAAATAGACAGCAACGCGTAAGAGGCAGAAAAAAGGAGGAAAAAACGCGAGCAGAAGTAATGAAAGACATCGGAGAAGCTTTTCTCGGCAATCTCCTTTGCTCGACGATTTTTTACAAATTATATATAGCAACCGGTAAACACTGATTTCTCACCGTGACTACTATACTTTTCGACCAATTAACCTGATTCGTAAACAGATTTCAAGAGGATTCTTGATTCTTTATGAAAGAGTTAAATAGAATACTAGATCCGTATTTTCGTCGACTGAAAAATTTAATTAAACAATCAGTTTTATATTTATTGAACGATCAAATCTTTGTCAAGCGATACCAAGTCATTTTTTACCTACGTTTTAAACGATCGCATCACAGAATAAATCGACCTTTTGTATGTAGAAAATGTAAACAAATATAATATTGGATGTGTAAATGTTGATACATATTTTTATAGAATAGTTGAAAAATAACTCACCGGTCGTTGATACGGATGTTATTTTGATTCGTTATTGGCGAAGCTATGGATTGACTTTTATCTGGAAAAGGCAGAAAAATATTTATGACAATTATTATTTTAATTAAATTTTCAAGTTTTGAAGTATTAACTTGGTAATAATAAATTTGTGAAATTCTTTTCTATTGAATTAACACGTTATTAATAAATTATTAATAAATTATTTTCAATGAAATTAAATTCCTATTGATAATTTTCGATTCCTTTCCCGTAGAATTTGTTGCTAATCCAATAATAAATAATTCAGCGATACTATCGCACCACCAAACTACAGATTTTTCCAATTAATCTAAGTAAAATAAAAAATCATCAAATTCTCATAATATTCCGAGAAAAAACCGTGTTCACGATTCCTGCGCGATTGAAAAGCTTTCAGAAGCTCAACAAGTATCATTCGAAGCAACTTTCTAAGGCATCTAACGTTAGAACGTCGAAATAAATCGAGCAGAAGAAGGTTTAAGCACCGGATATCGTCGGTTTTCGTTCGAATGCATGACTTTCCTGAAACGAACAACTACCCTTCCCTTTTTAACGCGTGTCGAAGAGGATGCATTCTGAAAAGAAACTAAAGTTTCAAATCGTAATTCAACGCTGTGTCCCTACACCGTGTAATTCGCTTGTTACCAAATTTTCAAAGGGTTCGCTGCTCGGCTCGCAAGCCACGTAATAAGAGGCAGACAGATTCGTGTTCTAAAATGAGTTTCTCCATAGAGTTGCTAATTATATTTGCAAGTACATGCGGCACAGCCACCTTGTTCCAAGTAAATAACGAATAGCTATCCAAAGCAGGTAAAGAGGGGAGGCAGAAATATGAGCGACCAGGGAAAGTAAAGCGAACAGGGTTTATCGCAGTTGCCACACTATCTACCAATTAACTCTGCTAATTCGATGAAGTTTTGATAAACGCGACTGTCACCTGCCTCGAAACAAACTGGCTCGTTAAGTTGATTAACACTCACCGATGTTCGAGAAAGTAAGGAATAATTATGCGATCTCTGGCTGCCTCCCTTTGGAATATTTCACTGTTCAAATATACGAATTACAATGGAATTCCTGTAACTTTACCCCTTTATTCTCTTGTGTAATTTTGTGGTAACGTTTCGAATTCTTAACACTGTTTGCTCCATTGTTCAATTTTGTACTATTGTATTGTAAGTAATAAATTATGAAATTATGGAGGGATTAAATTTTTACATCCAATAGTTTGATAATAATTTACTAAGTTTTCTTTCCTTGATAATTAACCTCGGAATAGGTAACATCAATTTTCTATAAAAATTCTCCACTTTGCGTCGATGTAATCAACGCGGTTTCCCGCGAGCATGCAGTCGACGAGTGTCGCAGAAGTCTAGGCTGAATGGAGGAAAAGTAGTCCAAGGCACGTACGACCGGTTTGGATCGCGAACTTTTAATTAGAGGCAGGGAAAAAAAAAGCGTGGGGTGTCAGTGGAAAGTGGGCTGACCGAGCGAGTGTCTCCGCTGAAACTTCGTTGCCTGTTTTCTTTTTTTCTTTTTTTTTTTTGCAGGCAACGTTTGACAGAAATCAGACGGACTGTCGTCCAGAAATTGCTCCAGAAAGCTGCGATTCTTTGCCGCTTTTCTTTTCATTAGCACCGTGGGACCGCCGTGACACCCTTCTGACGACTTATCCCCTTGCCAGCGATTTAACGAGCGATTTTCTCGAGAAACTTGTCGAGGATCCGGCAACAATCTGGGGATATCCTGAAAGACTCGTTTCGTGAACGCCGAACGCGTGATTGGAATTACTTTCCTCGGTTTCTCATTGATTTTTCCGATCACGTTTGATTTTACCGCAACCAACTGCATCGACGTCGATGAAATTAATTTATTTCATTTGACAGGCTGCTTCCGGTATCGTCATTAACCCTTTTGCGCATTTGAAAAGGAAACAATCGTTCTACGTAACAAAGGTTAGAAAAGCATTCTTTTTTTATTCCTCGATTCCTTGACCGTTCGTGCAATGAAACTGGAAAATTACAAGGACCGAAATGTTCATCGACGCGGACCGTTTTCTCCCGCGAATTGTGTCATCGATCGCAGTTTACGAATGCATTCAATATTTCGGCGAAAACGCGGCGAGTGATAAAAAAAAAAAAAAGGAAAGAAGGGTTCGTAGAAATGACGCTCTCCCAACCTTCTCGCTAATTATCACTCGGCTTCGACGGAGAACTTTTTACGCATGATGGCAGAATGGTCGGGTATCTATTTGTCCGTAATGAGCGTTTCGATTTTCCGTCAGAATGCTTCTAAAAGGAGGTAATAAAACGCCTCTCATTTTTTTTTTTTTATGACGGCCACCGGTGGCTGAAGTTTTTCTACCTTGTTGTTACATCCTCCACGAGCAACGCCCTTCTCCGCCTTGAAATTACTTCTCGAATTCCTTGAGTTAGTTCCGCTTTCGTAATTCGTGTTAGAAATCGTTCAGTGGAAATTTAATATTTCGTTCAAAGAAAAGGAATTAAAAGATCGCCCAATTGTTTCCATCGAATAATATTGCTTGCTAAAGATAATTGTTCTATGATGCAATGCAAATGTGATAAAAGAATTATTTGGCCATTGAACAGAAATAGAATTATTATAAATTATAGCCAATTAAGCTGTATCCTTAATTTGTGAAAAATTTTTATTAAAAAGGAAAATAATCAAGGAAATTGTTGAGTAATATTAATATCATACTAATGATACTTCGATTAGAAAATAAAAGGATCAAATTAATTGTGATTAATTAAGATTTTATTGTGTCTTCAAAAAGAGGAAAATGAAAACTTGATTGAAAAAGTATTTATGCATCCTAAATACAATTCTAAAATGTTTAAAAACAAATTTCAAGTGTTTAATGTTATATCTGAACCCGGAAAATGCTGCCAGGTAGAATACTTTAATCCTGCCTGACTAATGATTGATCTCTTTCACTTCTACCAAGATTGAGCAAACTTTTTCTACGATGAGTTTGAACATAATCCTTAGCTTAAGAGCTTCTTGTATTTAAGTTATAAATATACCAGGAAGTAAAAAACATAAAAATCGAAAGTATTTAACATCCATCGTCTTTCATTCAATGAAATTTTGCTTTTAATGATTTTACATTTGAAAATTTCACTACCGCGAATTAATTTCACACATTTTCTCATTTATATTTTGTAATTTCTCTCTTCAAAAGTTATCTGAATTATGATATATCTGTAAACAGATAATACAAAGGATAGTTCTTGTTTGAAATGAAATTCGAGGATTTCATCGAATATTATTCTCGAATAAGCGAATACAATTTGGCAAATTACAAAAGAATCGAACGACAGATCTGTCGATAGATTTTCTCTGATTTAAAAGGAGGGAAAACGAAGAAAAAGGGAATTTCACGAGAATACCAATCGATCGTTGAATACCTTTCACGCGTATGCATTCTCAGCTGAAGTTCATCGTCGAATATTTCCTCCACAATCCGAAGTATTGGTCCGGCAAACTTTCGAATAATTAATCGCTCGAAAATTTCGTCTTTCGTGCACGAACGCTGAACCCGTCATTAATCTTATCGCTTCGCGATCGATGGAATCCTACGGAAAGTCCTCGCCTCTATTCATTCGACTCATTTTGATTTTCTTTATGCTTCTAACTTTCAACAAACTTTCTACCAATTGTACAAAATCTATTGTTCACCAGCTGTAATTATTTCAGCGTAGAAGTAATTAAATTTAAAAATTCATCATACCATGCATAATCTAAAATTTTGTTGGAGCACTCTCGGAATTCAAGAAAGAAATAAATTAAATTTTAATTCCCTCTTTATTTTCTAAATTGAGTAAAGGTTTTTAAAATTATATATAAAGCCCCATACCAGTATTGAAAATTAAATAATAAACATGCAGACAATAATTGTAAATTCAATTTTATGTAGTGTACGACAATTTGTCGAGTCAAAAGGGTTAATATAGTTTCTGAAAATTTCTCCAACCATTTGGCCATAATATACTGCATGGAACAATGATAACAATAATAATTGAAGTTACGTAGTATGAATTAACTTATTAACCAACTACAATCGCAACGAGATTACTTCATAAACCATAAAGGTAACTCAGTTCCATATGTGGCAAATGACGTTAAATGTTTCAAGAGCAGACGAATGGTCAAAGGGCATATGATTAGAATTTCCCTGATATCAACAGAAGCTAGAAAGCACTTTCTTGTCTGGTAATCAGCTTGCAAAGACATTAAAGCTTATCATCGGGCCAACTCTATTATCCGAATGTGGAACACATTCTAGATGCAGATTAATTTCAGCGATTCGAAACAGCCGTAAAGCTGGATAACAATTAAGAATGCATTCTGTCTGAGAAATGGAAATAATGAAAAAGTACACTGAAAGTGTGCTGGAGCATCGTTTAGCTTCATTGTAATTAAGCAAACAGAAGTGAACTTTTTCCCGTGAAAGCACACATGGTAAGCGAATTTTAAAACACCATACCATTATCCTGATACAGCGGAATTTAGAATTGCAATTACGTACTATATTTTATGAAGCTCGATTAAATGGACTTGGCTAAATTTCTTTTTTTCAATGAAAGATATCAGTTGCTATTAGTGAAAGTTTTTGCAATATGGAATATGCTATCATTACAATGCGTGAAATGTAGGAAATAAAATGAGCAATTTAGAAGAGAAAATTTTGCACAATTTTTTCCAAAGTGTATCTACCAGAGACTGAATATTATCACGAATTATGATTGAATAAATTATTTTCAGCTAGAAGCACCTTGTGTATATCGTTCATTTATATACTGCAATAATATTTCATAAACTCTGACTAAAAATCAAAGCAATGAAAGAAAGGTATTAAATTAATTTTGCATTTAATAATGCAAAGCTTAATCAAATCATCAAAGAAAATTAAATCCACGAAGATAGAAAATTAAATTAGGTTTCCATCTGTCATCATTAAACAAAGCCTTGACACTTTAATTATATATCAGAGAAACCTAATTTTCTAAATAAAGATTTTTA